AGCCGCCCCGCAATGCGGCGCCTCCGCCTCGCTTAACCCAGTTCGCGGGATTCGCGGCGCCGCCGCCCCGCGTGGGGTCGTCTTCGTGGGTCGCGCGATGGGAAGCCGCGGGGGGTCTCGGCGCCCCCGCACCAGGAAGCCCCGCCCATCGCGCCCCCCAGGGCGCCCCAACAGGCCCTGGGAGAGGGTGGCCCCAAGCGACCAAAAAGGGGGCGGGGCTGAGCTGGGCGCTCGCCTGGAGTGAGAGGAGGCGCCCAGGGCTCACCCGGGAGGTTGGAGTTTCCGGGGGGCTCGCCCCGCTGTGAGGCCACCCGCACCGGTGAGCCCCCCTCCCCGCTGGATGCGCCCACACCCCAGGCTCTGCGCTGCGGCTGTGGGCTCCTGAGTGGCTGCTTCTGGGGGCTCGTGTCCTTGGCTCTGCGCCTCCGAGAGGCCAGGGGTCACCGAGGAGCGCGGGGGGCAGTGCTGCTGAAGGGCCCAGTCCCCTGCCCCAGCTGGGCCGCCCCTGGCCGCGGGTCACCCCTGGCGCCTGCCCCCAGCACTCAGGCCCGGCTCACCGCCGCGGGGCGCCCTCAGGCAGCAGGATCGCCCCAAACAGCTGCACAGAGCCAGCAACGAGCTGCGGGGGGCAGCAGGAACCAGAAACGCTTAGAAAACCCATGTCCCCAATGATCTCCTCGCCCCCAGTCAATTAATTTTCCTCTAACTGCCTTTGTGAACAGGGGTTTAATAATCTCTAATTATTCAGCACATTCGCAGACTCTGAACGTCTCACAGTCCTCTATTAAGTATTAAATTTTACAAATCTAACTCTCACAGCCCCTGGCACAAGCTGGGGGCCATGGGCAGTGTCACGGCGAGCGCTGTCGCTGTCGGTGTGGGGCAGGCAGTTCTCTGTGTCCCCTCTACGTCCCCCCGCCTCCCAGGACACAGCTGGAGCAGGCCACTCTGCAGTGACTCCCTGGGCTGGGAACTGGTCGGGCCCATGCCGCAGAGGCAGCCATGCTGGGAGCCCCAGCTTAGGACACTTTCTCCCCTGGGAGCAAGTCGGACCCTGTGGGACCCAGCGCAGGCTGCAGGTGGCCACCAGGCCTCGGAGGAGCAGCAAGCCCTCCCCTCCTGCCTCCTGCCCACTCTCAGGCTCCTGAACCTGGGCCTTCCAGGTGCCCAGGTGTCCAGTGACCAGGGGCCTCCCCTGCAGGAAACCCTTTTCCAGGTCCCCCTCCACCCAGCACCTGCCCAGCCCCACCCCTAGGAGACTGACTGACTCAAGCTTGGACTGCACAGCCGTGCGTCCAAAGGCATCCACTCATTCAAAGCACCTGCCAGGCCTGGGCGGGGGGTGGGAGACACAGCACTAAGCCAGACAGATGAAGCACCTTCCCCGCAGGGCCTGCTGGTCTGATGGGAGATAGCCATAAAATAAAACAGGTGCTGGGGTCCCAGAGTCCCACTGGAGGCTTGGAGACACCCCTTTGAGGAAATACCATCAACAGTTCAGGTACAAAGTTTGGGAAAAGCATGTCCAAAGAGTACACCCTGGAGAGGAAAGAGCTGGAGGCAAAGGCCCTGGGGTGTGAAGAGCTGGAAGAGGCCAAGTGCCTGGGAGAGAGGGGAAGGGCAGGGCCATTGTGTCAGGCCAGCGAACGTCAGGTGTTTTCTAGTTGGCTCCTAAGGGCTTTAAGAAAAGGTGGCAGGTCACAGGGGAGGTACACAAGTAACTGACTGCATTTACCCCTCAAGGAGCAAGAATCAGTGGAGAAATGCCTGCAGGGTCTGGGGTTTCCAAGCTGAGTGAGAGCACCCAGGGCCGCTTCCTGGAAGAGGGGCCCAGAGGACTGGCCAGGACCTGGGAGCCAGGTGGAGAGGGGAGGTCTCAGGCAGCACCTCCCTTCTCTTTCCCCCACACTATGCTCCTTTAGTAGATACCAGCTTTATCCCTATGTTACCTCCAGGGAAACTGAGGTATAGGGTGGCTAAGTAACGTGGCCAGGTCCATGCACAGCAGAGTCTCGGCTGTGTGGAGACGAGACAGTTACTGGCCGACCCTCAGCACGGGATGAGAGTCGGGGTCCTGAGACCCTCTCCTCACCCCTCCCACTGTTCCCTCAGCTAGGAAAGTCCCTGTGATGGGGGGGGGGTGTTGTTTCTGGAAACCTTTTCTGTTAGATAAACATGCGAAATGACAGGCAGTCTGGGCTCTGCTGTAAAATACAGGCAGGGAAGGGGTGGGGATGCCAGGGATGGAACAAAACTGGCCCAGAGCTGATAACTTTTGAAGACGGGGCTCATTCTATCATTTTCTCAATATTCAGAGACATTTGGAATTTTCCCTAGTAAGGAATTAAGCAGGAAAACAAAACACCCTCGACCTCAGCAGGGCCGAACAGGCAGAGGCCCCGGGTGCTGGCTGACACCCCTGCCCCCCTCCCAACCCAGGCTTCGCCCAACAAGGAAACTAAGGCCGGGAGCAGGGCACTGGGGGGGCGGGGGGACGGGACTCAGGCAACAGCAGGCTGTGGGTGAGGCAGGGCAGAAGAATGGTGGCCACATCTGGAAGCCCAGACTCCCCTGCTCTGACCCTCCGACTGGAAGAACACATTGACCATATAAACTGGGAATGTGGGGTTACTTTAGAGGAGCTATGTGATTTTGCAGAAATGGATCCAGGTGTTTTTGGCTAGAATCTCACAAACTCCTATTCATCCTTCAAGACCCACCTCATGTCCTCCCTGTGGTCCCACTGGAAAGTGGGGTTGTGGTGCCCATTCAGATGCGTTTGTTCCTCACAGTGTCTACATGGATGAGCAAGAGGCTCCCTCATTAGTCTAGGGGACCTGTGATACGGGCTCTCACCTGGGGCTAGGGGCAAGCCTATGGAATGAGACTGGGGTTGGAGGACCCGTGGGACCCCCCCACAGCACTGAGATGGGGACCCTGCACACCCATCCTGGGGATCCTGCCCTCCCTGACAGCCCTCCATCTGTACGCCCATGTCACCTGCTCAGGGCAGCACCTCTGCCACACATGCCCCTGTCACAGCCACTCACCCCCATGTTCCGCCATGTCCCCACACATGGACACTGTCCAGCCCCACGAGGGCCATCACTCAGCAAGGGCTCAGGAGGTGCGGGCAGGTGAGGCCAGTTACCCAGGGCTGGCCCCGGCTGGCACCATGCTCAACCCTGCGGGCCCACTGAGTGCCCATGTGCAAGGACCAGAAGAGGCTGGTGAGGATCCGCAGCTCTCATGGCCCCTCAGCATTGCCCAGCACCCAAGTCCTTCACCCACAATTCACAGCAGGTGGCGTCAGAGGCCCGGCCACCAGGTCTCTGCCCCTCCTCACCCCCAAACCCTGGTGAAGGTGTGATCCCACAACTGAAGGTGGGGTCCCCGTCCCTCCTGCCCATTTAGGTCCCACGGCAGCCAGGACCCCACTTGCTCTGGCGCCCTGTGCCCAGCCCACAGCCCACCCTACCTCTGGCAGACAGCTTCTTGGTGTTGATGATCTTGGCTGCATACTCGTGGCCGGTGCAGAGCTTGACACAGCGTCGGACCACAGAGAACGCCCCCCTGGGAGTCAAATGGGGACAGGGACAGGGGCAGAGAGACAGAGACACAGAGAGAGAGCTAATTAATCTCCCCATGGACGCCCAGCACCCCACCATGAGGCCGGGCCTTGGGTACAGATCTGAAAAAGGAAAGGGCCCCCTCCCCAAACAGCTCCCACCCTCTACTCTGTGCCAGCCCAGTGGCCCTTCTCTGGCAGCTGACACAGCGCAGCCAGCCCCGGGTCCTTGTGCACCCCCTGGTGCTCTGTGCCAAGTCCGCAAGACCCAGTGAGGCTCAGCAAGTGCTCCCGTGGATGGAGGTAGGTGCAGCCACACAGGACTCACCAAGGAGGAACATCAGGTCATTAAGCTGCAAAGCCGGAGAAGCGGCCCTCCACCCTCTGCTGCCCCCCACCTGCACTGCCCCCCACGTTTCCCACAGCAGAGGCCGCGAGTCCCACATGACAGGCCCACAGGTCAGTGCTTCTGAGGGAGCAGCAGGAGGGGGAGCCCCTGAGGGCCAAGAGAAGGAAAGATGTGCAGGAAAGTGGGGTACGGCTGCAAAACCCACAGACACTGACCCTGGAGAGGAGGTGGGTTGCAGGAGGTGCAGGGTCCAGAGCCCAGACAGCTGGCAGACTGGGGCCCATCAGAAGGTCCTCCCCAGTACTCGACTTGTCACCACGGTCGGTTTAATTTTATTTCAGATCATTTCTAAGAACATTAGACCCATCACACGTGAGGCAGGGCTGGAGTAGGACACGTCTCGGGGAGGGTCCTAGTCCAGACAGGAGGCAGCCGGGGCTGTTCTGGCTCTGCCCTCCCTCCCCAGGACCCAGCAGGCACCGGCCCCCGTGGGATAGACTCCCCGCCACCCACACAGCCTGGCACCCACATGTGCCAAAGCCCAGGGCTCCAGGTGATAGAAAAGCTACGTGCTAAACAGGGAACACTTTTTGTTATAGTCCTTTTTGAGACAAAACTTCATTAAAATGTACTGGTCACTTCCTGGAAAAAAATAAATATTACAGTAAATCTAATTGACCGTTTTCTTAATGACCCAGGTCATTGTGAGCAACAGCTGTGCTTCACGCTGCATCTCCTCTATTTCCAAGTCAGTGAGTAACAGGCGGCAGCTGCTCGGGGGCCAGGGGTGGACCACACTATTCACCTGCGTCCTTGGACCTGGCTCCTATCCTGCTCCACTGCATCCCGGCGGCACCAAGCTGCACCCTCTGAGCCTCAGCTTCCCCGTCGCAGGAGCAGGCAGGGCCCCTGCCCTCTGCCCAGACAGCTTTGGTCTCACCCTCACCACCCTTGCCCGCGGCGGGTCCATGCACCCCTTCCCCTCAGGAGAGCTGAGAGGATCACATTTACGAGCCTGAGCTGCCACATGTGACACTCAGGCCCCCAAAGGGCGGGGACTCCCACACACGGCTCCACAGGCCTCCCTGGAGGGTCAGGGCTTCCTGGGCCAGAATCCGACCTCAGGCTGGCCTGACCCCCAGCTGGAAGTTCCAAACAGCCAGACTGCTTGTTGATGGGGAATGTGCAGCAGGTGGGCAAAGGTGCATGGGTCCCGGAGTAGCGAGGGACCCACACTGCCCTTCCTCGGGAGTAGGGGACAGTGGCCGGAAGCCTTGCTAGCACACAGCAGGGAGCGTAAATAAAACGACCAAGGACCAAGAGCCAACAGCCAGATGGGCCGTCCCCGACAGACGGCTCTGCAGACCCCTGTCCAGGGCCGCCCGCTGCCCCACATCCCGGGGGCCTGCTCCCCCCAGGTCAGACCCTGCTTTTCTTCACGAGGACGGCCGGGTCTGGGATGGCACGCGTCCATGACAAGGCCAAGGGAGACACTGGAGGGAGCGTGGAAGGTGTAGGCGCAGCGCCAGGCATCCAGCAGGCAATTGACGGTCGACAAGGCTCTGCTCTTGGACACAGGCCTCCTCTCCCTAAGCCCCACCTGTCAGGTGTGGGGAGGGCACCTTCAGAAGCCCCTCTGGGGTGGGCTGGTCCTGCCCCTGCTGCTCCGCCTGAGCGAAAGTTTTGGAAAGAGCTGCCCCAACCCCTGTAGGTCTGACCCTGGGCATGGGCACACCGAGAACCTCCGAGGGGCCTCAGTGCACATCTGCCAAGGGACAGGAAGGGGAGTCTGGGGTGAGGATGGGCCAGCGGGGCCGCGATTACCTCCCAAGGCTTCCCTGGGGGGGCGGCTGTGGGGAAGGGTGTCTCCCCTGGCAGCTGGGGGGCAGAGCATACGCACAGGCTGGTGCAGAAGCACACAGTGGGGCCACGAGAGCAGCAGCACACGCAGGGGAGGCCAGCCCTGCACTGCCTGACCCTCCCATCGTCCGTGGATGGTGGCATGGCAGGTGGTGGCCAGCTGCAGGGTCAGGCAGGTCACCTGGAGTGAGGCCACCTGCACAGCTGTCGGGGAGGCTGGGGAGGTGCTCTGTGTGGGGTGAAGGGCAGAGCAGAGGGTGGGGACAAGGATTGGCTGGCAGGGGAGCCACTCAAACCTCCAGGCCACCCCACGATGCCCCACGTATGGCACCTTCTACTGAACTACTCACTTTTAAAGCATCTGAATAACGTGTTCAGGTCCTGGGCCTGGGCACCATGCGCGTTAGAGGGTTTTTACAGATGATACCTTTAAAAGGAAACATGAGTCCTCGCTGGCTGGAGGCTCACCTGGAGTCCTGGGGGACCTCGGCGCCCAAGCAGCCGAGAGCTCCTAGAAGCAGCACCCCATGGTGTGTCTGCAGAGTCCCCTCTTCCTAAGGACACGGTCACATCGGGGAAGGGCTCACCCTGGACCAGTCCCACCTCATCTCAACATCTGCAAAAACCGTCTCCAGGTAAGGTCACGTCCTGGGGTCCCAGGGAGTCAACATACAAATTCTGAGGAGACTCCATTCAACCCCTAACACATGCCGACCCTCACGGAGTCTGCCCTGTGTGTACCAGGCACTCTGCTCCCAATTACAGTCCTCAAGCATCAGCTCCACGGGTGTTAGCAGGTGTCAGGCCCATGGGGGTTCTGTAAGCAAATACGTTTGGGAACCAGTGAGTAAGATGGTGTCTTCCTTCCTTCTTTCTTGTAAATCCTCCCCCAAGGATATGCTTTTATTGATTTTAGAGAGAGAGGAAGGGGGAGAGAGGGAGAAACATGGATCGGTTGCCTTCTGCACATACCCTGACCGGGGATTGAACCTACAGCCTGGCTATGTACCCCAACCTGGAACTGAACCCATGACCTTTCGGTGCACAGGATGGCGCTTCAACCAGCTGAGCCCCACCAGCCAAGGCCTTCCTTCACTTTCTGACTGCAGGATTTCTCCGCGCCTTTAACATGGTGATCCGTGCCTTGAATTTGCAACTAGGGAGTCTGAGGTTAAGCCTTTCGCTAATTTATTCAGCCACAGAAATCTCTATTCCAAAAAGTCTCATGAGGGCCTGGTGTGGGGCAGAAGGGACTTCTAGTCTAAGGCCTCAATACCGACCCTTCCTGAAACCCCATGGGACCCTCTGAAGACAGCAACAGACGTCCTCTGAGGATGAAGCCTCCAGCAAGAAACAAGTGGGGAAGGCAGAGAAATGCCACCCACAAGTGGGCCACGGGCCCCCCGAGGACACCTACCCCCAAAACACAAGAACGGCAGCCACTGCCCGTGGGCTCGTAGGCGCCTGTCAGAGGAAATCCCTGCAGAGCATCCTCCCCGCCCCTTTGAACAGGGCACCCACGCCCATCAGGAACCCCCCACCCAACCCCATGAGCTGTGACATCTGCCACTGTCCTCCCAGGTGGGCCAAGAGCACAAATTCGGAGCCGTTTCCTTTACATTTCTGACAATGCTGGGAGCAGGCAGAACTCGGTGAGTGGAGGGAGGCGATTTCCAACCAAACAAGGCTCCTGACAGAATCACTGCACTCTAATGAGATTCAGGTGTAAATAACCACAGCACACAAGGCCGGCTGGCCCCACGTTTGAAAACCAATTAACAGAATCCATCACATCAACCGACTTAAAAGCAAAATCGCACGATCATATCAATTGATGCAGAAAAACCATTCAACAAAATCCAGCACCAAAAACTCTCAGCAAACGAGGCAGAGACGGGAAGTTTCCAGCGAGATAAAGAGCCTTGTATTAGTCAGCTCTGGCTGTCAAAACAAAACTTCACAGGCTGGGAGCTTAAAGAACAGAAATTCACTTTCTCACAGTTCTGGAGGCTAGAAGTCCAAGACTAAGGTCCGATAGAGTGGTTCCTGTGCGAGCTCTGCTCCTGTGACTTGTCTGTGGTCACCGCCTTGCCACGTGCTCACCTTTCCCGGGTGGGGCATGTGGAGACGGAGCAGGTGAGCTCTCTGGTCTCTTCCTAGGAGGACACTAACCCTATCTGGTTGGGGCCCCACCTTATGACCTCATTTAACCTTAATTATCTCCTAAAGATCACAGTCGCATGGGGGGGGTAAGGTTTCCACTATATGAATTGGGGGAGAGGGGACAATTCAGTTCATAGCAAGCGTCTACCAAAACACCTACAATTAACCTCACGCTTTTTGTGAGAAAGTAGAGGCTTTCCCTGTCGGATCAGTAGTGAGGCCAGCACATCCCTCTCACCACTCCTCTCCAATACGTACTGGAAGTCCCTGCATCTGTCCATGGCCAGCTGCCCTCCACAGACGCCCGGCCAGGTGGCCCAGGGGGGCCAGCGAAGGCACACGGAGGCCGGCCAGGCAAGGCTCAGCCTCTGCGCTGGACGCTATCCCACGGGGCAGCCGCCGGGAGGGCCTCACTGCAGGGGCTCCGTTCTCCCTGGAGCAGGAGGTTCCACCAGGCGCTGCTCACACCTGCCTGGCTGGGGCAGTCCACCCGTCTACCTCGGACCGAGGCCGCCTGGCCTGGCCTGGGGACACTGATGTCACTTCCAGGCCACTGTGCTCTCAAGATGGCTCCCAGAGCTGAGCCCAGGGCTCGCAGAAGCAGGGCCAACCTGCCAGCACCCCTGTGTCCAC